AAATAATCACGAGTTCTTGCAAGACTTGTTGGGCATTGAAGTATAGTAAGTAGAGCATCCTAATGTGTGAAATAAAACCAATGTAAAATAAAACCAAGGATACTAACATAAATGAAAAATCTAGCCAATTTACTAAGGATTAATGGGGTTGGGAATAAATGGGTAAAAGCCAGCTAAATAGCAATTTTAATTTCCATTGGGCATGTGTACTATATAAAAAAGGAGCATCTTTCCATGATGTATTGAAATTTTAAAAAAACACTTCATACTAAAAGTATTTTTGTAGATATCCAATGACAATTAATGAAAAAATACGAATAAAACATTAAGCATGTAAAACCTTTCTTTCTTTCTTTTTTGTGATGACCCTATCATGATACCATGATATATTTCATCTGGTGCATAAGCAACTTAGGCAACATAAATATCTACTGATCTGAAAAGTTTCACATCTCAATACCATTTTCATATTATTCTTATTTACCATTTCTTTTACAAGCATCTCATGTATCCTTAACACAACAATTAGTACTTCCTAGCCTGTCATTACTGAAGCATAATCGTCTCTTCCTCTGTGAGCTACCTACCGCAGGTATGACTGTGGTGACACCTGTAACAGGAGTGACTGCAGATAATGGTGGAGGCCGCACTCCATCAATGGTTAATTCTCCACGCGCTAGGGACACACGCAGGTACGGCAAAGTTTTCTGCGGGTGAAAAGATTATTCGTCATTACGCACCAGCAAGTCACGGACAGAGGACAGTTCCATTACCTCTACCACTTAAAGACACATTTAAAGCAATGCAATACTGACTTACCTTAAGGAAGGGAACAAGGCAAGGCTGTGGGGAGGAATTGAGGTCTTTCTGAAGCTCCTCTGTGAAGACTTCAGGCTCCACTCGTCCCTCAATGAGGCCCTGAATCAGATTTCGAACATTACGTGCCACAGTCGCCCGCTGCTCATTCGCCAATTTCAGTAATGTTGCCAGAAAGTTTTTACATTTTGTTTTTGCGGATTCGGCTGAGATAGTTTGCTATACGAATGGAAAGAGAAAATTTTGTTTAGTATTCGAAGCCTGAAGCGAAGATATTGCTAAATCATCAAAATCATATAACCACAAATAGCAAAGCTTATTTTACAGCCAAAATACCAAGATTCACGGGGAAAATAATACAAACTAAAATAATAAATACGTCACTTTCAAACACTGAGAACTAAAAAAAACAGGTGAATACATAATTAATCAGTCATGCACAAAGAGACAAAGACACAGACAAACAGGATATAAACACAGGTAAACCATGCACAAAACAAACGAATACACACCCACACCCACACGCACCCACACACAAAATTAATCCATGAATAGTATACGCAAGACTCTTTTCAGCCAGGTCAAAGCTAGGAACTACATCCTGCTTACAACATCCAAGGCAAAATTATGATACTGTATATACTATAAATTACAATTAACAAACATGCTTGACAGCTGCATAATGATCAAAATGGGGTACACACAGTTGTAAAGAGTTTATTGGTAATAACATGAGTCTAACCATACAAAAAAAAAATATTACACAAACAAAAAAATCAATTACTTATAACTGGCAAAAATTCCCATCTAAAGATAGCTTGCATCTTTTCACTTATACACACAGCACACACACACAAAAAACATTTCTTAACGGATTCCCTGCCAAAAGGTTCTTGACCTTAATTCTTTAATTATAGCAGAGTCAATCAAAAGATCTGAATAGCTATACACAAATACTAACACTTGATAGATGTACATATTACGTTTTCTCACTCATTCTGTACAACACCCTCTCCTAATGATAGAAATCTCTTGCACTGTTAGCAAAGTGTGAGGTCTAAATAACAGTTTTCTGATTCATTAAAGAGTCATCTGGATTAGAAGAAACGGAATTAGCTGAGACAAATATAGAAAAAAGTTTGAATGAAAATGAACAACTTCTTAGCATAAGAGGTGTATCTTACACTTTTTAACTATATCAACTGAAAGAAAGTAATTTTAACCCCTTAACACCGGGTGACACCGATCAGCGTGAAAACAAACCACTCGAAAGCTGGCGTGCGACTGTATGCCGCGGCGGCGAGCCAGTGATTTGGGCTGATGTCCCCTACTCACGCGCTCAAAGTCGGTGCGCCGCCTTTGTAGAGCGTAGAGATTTTTTTTTGTTTTTTTTTGTTAACCCGGCGCCATTGGGTTAATGATAAAATAATTTGAATATGGCAATTACATCTCTTCCCCTGCAAAGTTTTCAATATTCCGAATATACAAATATTTTTTTATCAATAAACTTATTTTCTTAACCCTTTTCTTGCCTAGCCTGATTTTCTTTCAAGACATCTTGGAATTTCAAAATCTGAATAATCTCCGTAAACCAGATTTACAGAATAATGGACAGAAAACACGCAAGAAAAGAAAGAAATTTGTACATTCGGCAGAGGTCGGCTGGCAGCAAGAAAGCACAAATCTTTTCTACCACACCCAGTGGGGTGGATGCAGTTTTCAATATTCAATATACAATTTTTTATCAATAAACTTATTTCTTAACCCTTTTCTTGCCTAGCCTGATTTTCTTTCAAGACATCTTGGAATTTCAAAATCTGAATAATCTCCGTAAACCAGATTTACAGAATAATGGACAGAAAACACGCAAGAAAAGAAAGAAATTTGTACATTCGGCAGAGGTCGGTGGCAGCAAGAAAGCACAAATCTTTTCTACCACACCCCCAGTGGGGTGTGAATCCCTTCCATTCCACCTTAATCTCGCACTATCCGTCACATCACTCATTGGTTCAAGTGACCTGGACCCAGCATTGCTATCATGGTTTTTCATATTTTTTTTATTCTACATAAAATTAGCCATAATATCTTACTTCAGGTAACATATTCTAAACATGTGATCACCACACACAATATATAAATATTTATTGACAAAAAGGTTTTTTACATGTACTCCAGGAGCTGGCAAAGGGTTAAAGATTTCACAGTTGACTTTTTTCCGTGTCCATCGAGTACCTTCAATGAAACTCAAATAAAGTCCAACTTCGTAACCCCAAAATAAATAAAAACAAAATTATTTCCAAACTTTTATTTTCAAAACTATTACCCATCTCAAGCACACCATGCTAAACATAACTAAAAAAAAAAAAAAAAAAGAAACAGAAAAAAAAGAAAGAAAGAAAGAAAGAAAGAAAATCGATGACGTTATATACTCACAGAGCCTCCTGTAGCAGCAGCAGGCTGGGTCGTCTGGGTGACAGGAGCCGCAGCAGTGGTAGGAGTTGAGGGTACGACTGTCCCTGCCACCGTTGTGCCAGGGGTGACAGGTACTGTTGTGGGGTTCACAGCAGTACCTGCTTGTGTAGCCATGGTGGTGGTGGTTGTCCCAGTGGATATGGCAGCAGTGTTCTGTTGGATTGAAAATACACAGTTGAACTAAATAAATTCCACAACTGGATAGGTAGGCTTCAAGGTACAGAATTATCAACAACAAAAAATTTATTACACTGATAGTTTATGAAAATGAAACAAGGTAATCAAAGACATAACTATATAACCATGCCAAAATGCTGTCTTCCTTCTACTGCTACAGCAAACATGCACAATCTTACATGCAACTAAATACAGTTAAGCAACAGAGGAAAGTTGATCAAATATAGATGTGTCTTATCATGCTTCTTTTTGCACTTTTTAAGTTATCTCAGAGAAGAGTGGAAATTTCAAGAAGGTAACTTGTAATAGTTTTGTAGATTATCCGGTACTGGAATAGAAACACAGTCCTGACTATCAGCAGAAAAGGCTACAGCACAGGGCTAAACACCCTTTCCTCTTAACACTATTTGGAAATCTACAATCATTTTTATGCATTTACAAAAACTAACGCAAAAAGGGGGATACATCAACAATTCCCAAGTACTTTTGTAATACATAAATGCATTTATTTTCATTTCTTATACATTTCTTCTTCTAAATGGACCACAACCAGGTTAGAGGCTTGTTTCTTACCGTGGCCTAACTACAAGAACAGATATTCTTGGAACATGGAGGGATGAACAAGATTAATCCAGCATCCATAGCAATCAGGATGTGGATAAACATAGCAGGTGAACTATCATACATATCCAGAGGACAACATTAATTCTAAAAATGTAGGCAAAAAGTTTCAGTGTGATGACTCCCTCATAAAAGCAAGAGTAAAAGAAAAGAAAAATCATAAAATTTCATCTCACAAAAATCTTCAGTAAGAAATGGCACTTTAAATATCATCAAATTGAAGATTTTAATCCCTATGTGGTTACTGTGAATGTGAGAATGTGCATGTTCCTATACAAATCCAAATACGTGTGGCATCTTGCAAATAACTGCAAATGACTGGCCAAAGAGACATATTGCCAGAATGAAAAAGAGAGAGAGAAAAAAAAGTGAAAATGAAATGATCTAAATGGACTTGTTGAAGTTGGGGCATGAATTTACCTATGAGAGAAGGGCTGACCACAAGCTATTCTGGTGAACTGCTGAGGAAATATTGTAAGTAAGTTGGAAGGAATATAATCTAGGGCTAGAATCTGCATGAGTATCCTCTTGTTGAAGAAGAAGCACATCAAGTAAATATAACGAATCAGAGGTACATGTATGGTCGATCATAGTTTTGTTTATCTTGTTTATACCTAGACGACTCCAAGACCACTTTGTCATGAAGGAGATAATAATCATCCTAAATGACCTCACCTGATTTTCCCATTCCTTGAATTTTTGGTTACTCGTTATCTTTTCATAATATCAATATAATCATCGTATTATTCTACTAGTTACTAACAATACAAATAGCAATAAAATCTACAGTTTATAAAAAATCAAGGAAAGGGTAAACAGATAAGATCAGGTAAGATTAGTAACTGACTCCTTGGTGATTAAGAAAAAGTGGCGCCATCTATCTATACACAAAATCAATAAACTAAACTCAGTCCACAAGGCATGTATGCATGCCATCTCCCAGCATCATTGGGTTAATATGTAAATACATGATAAGAAAACAAATGGCATAAAGATGTACATGATGCTAATGAAAAGAACAAGAGGAAAGAATTAAAATAAAAACTGAATTGTACCACTGTGTCATAATAATAAGTACAGGTTGAACTTCACTAGCGCATGACATGTAGGACCAGACACATGTTGAAGTAGATTTTTAGAATTAGAGAAGCTTGGAGATGAAAAAAAAAGACAAAACTGTGTATGTGCTCTCTTTGAGGCTTAGCTATGTCTAAATCATAAGCAGTCCAAGATTAGTGAATGCTAGTTCCATGGAGCTTAACCTGTACTGAGAAATCAGTGGAATATAATGTAAAAGTTATCATCAGCTCTTGACTTTAGAGAAAACATTCAAATGTCCAAAGATACAGACACAGAGATGATGCCAGTTTAGACCTCAAAAAGAATACCATTCACATGCACTTTAAAGCCCATAATAAGCATTTTTTAGTGTGTGTTGTAGGCAGATAAAAAAAAAAACATTTCTAAGAGTAGAACATAGGACTTTCTGGTTTAAATTGTAGACCTAATTCTTATTTTTCATATATGATGCACATACAACCCAGAATATACATGGGATGAAATTTCAAGCCATTTCTTACTGGTATTATAAGGATTTTACACTACTCCTAAGAATCAGAAGAACAGAAAAAAAAATGTAGCCCCTAATTTCTTTAAACAACTTATCTCTCACAAGATCCATGCATCAGACAAGCTGTATTAATCACTGCCAATTACAACCCTCGTCAAATAAACCGATTGAGAGGTATTCTATGTATCAAGTAATACTAATACCTATTACCTGATATAAAATACATTATACTAGGATTTTTCTTTTCTTTTGATGTGTCACCCTAATATTTATCATAGGGATGTTTACTGCCTCTGTAAACAACATACAGAGATGTACACTACACTGCTTTTAGGACCTATTAACATTACATCTTTGCATTTCACTAAGAATGCACATCACAAATACAAAGACATCGTCACACATATCTCCTCGGTATGTATTCCTACACATAAGAAATGAGTTAAATAAACTTGCCACTATATATAATAGTCTAGGGAAGGGGTATTAACCTGGGTCAGTAGCCAAACCAAATATCTGAAGTTACTTATGACAAATTTTCTAATGGTCATCTTTCAGACATTTACTTACCACCTACTTTAGGCTTCTGTAATAGAAAAATTCTACAAGTTGCAAAATAATTAGGCATGACTAATATGCAACTTAAAATGCAATAACAACAAAAGGACTTTATCAAAGGAGGTAAAAGTTCTCATCCATTACTTTGGATACGGAAACTTAAGCAGTTAGTGAAATATTTCGGCATATAACATTATACTGCATAAGAACATGTGTTGGCAATTTCATTTACAATTAGAAACTGAGAAAAAAGTTATCCAGATATTGTATCACATTTGATATTTTTGGTATAGAAATTGTAGCATACCATATATACACCAACAATAAAATACTGGTTTTCCAGTTCAGTTTCTGTAAGAGCCAACAGAAGAATTACATTTTCTATGGAAAAAGTTGAAAAAATCTATCAACTACTTTCTCTTCCATAAATCTTGTATGTAGTTCATCATATACAACAGAAGACCCCCATTCTCTAAGATACTCAAGATTTTGGGCCAACTATATATGGCTACAATATATATTTCTATTGAACTAAATTGCTCA